ATTTATCTATATATATATACATTATTATACAGAGTTCATTTATGCTTTTTAGTAGTGTACTCTTTATTACATAATGCCTCTATATATATATATATATATATGTATATATATATGTATATACATATATATGCATATATATGCATGCATATACATATATATAATTAAACTATTTTTTAATAATTCACATATTATTGCATGCATTTTGTCTTCTATTCCTCATACGAAATCTGTTAATTATACAACGCCATATATAACACAGAAAAATAATATAAACACAGGGTGTATAACAAGATACTTTCAATATACTATATATATATATATATATACAATATACAGTATATATATATGCATATATATATATATATACAATACATTGTATATGTATATATGCATATATATATAATATAGCATATATATATGCATATATATACAATACATTGTGTATATGTATATATGCATATATATATATATTATATATATATATGCTGTATATATACATATATACATATATATATATATATATACATATATGCATATATATATATATATATGTATATATACATTATATATATAAAGTCCCTACTATATCTGTATCTAGACGTATAGATATGGGTTTTTCTGTAGATACACGACTCTGTCTTTTTTCTTTTTAAGTTTTCTTGCTGTCTCTCAGAGTTTAGTTTGTTTGTCTTTGTCTGTCTCCCTTTGAATTTATCTCTTTATCTCTGTCTACGGCTCTATGCTTCTATCAGCAGCAGAAGCTGCAACAGCAGCAACAGTATCACTAGCAGCAGCAACAGCAGCAACAGTATCACTAGCAGCAGCAACTGCAGCAGCAACAGCAGCAGCAGCACTACACACACACACACACACACAAGGTGTGGGGTACTTCTCTACTACAGCCTCAACTAATCGTCAGACGAACTCTTTATTACTGCTGCTACTGCCTTAACCCCAACGCTGCAGCAGCAGATGCTGCTGCTGCTGCTGCTGCTGTTGCTGCAGTTACGTCCGGATGAGGCACTTGACTAGAACTTTTTAAACGAGACGCGAATGACACCACACTGCCCACAAGAGCTGGGGTAATACCGCAGCAAGAAAGAGAGCAGCACAGTACCTGCTGCTGCTGCACCTGCTGCTGCAACAGCAGCAGCAGCAGCAGCAGCAGGTTCACCCGCGCTGCTGCAGCACATGCAGAAAGACGATACGAATGTTTTAGTGACAGAGTAGGGAGCCCAGCTATTCGCAAGGGAGAGCCCCTCCTCAAAGAAATACATTTGACGGCTGCTGCTGCAGCAGCAGTTGCTGCTGCTGCTGCTGCAGCAGCAACTGCTGCAACCGCAGCAGCCACTGCAGCAAAGACAAATGCTGCAGCAGCAGCAGAAACTGCTGCATCATATTACGTATTGACGACACCCACAGCACCAGACCGAACACGTTGTTGCTGCTGTTGCTGTTGCTGCAATCGGGAATGAAGGGACGCCCCTGCTAGCTGCTGCTGCTGCTGCTGCTGCTGCTGCTGCTGCTGCTGCTGCTGCTGCAGGCTACGCAGCAGCTCCACTGGCAGGGCCTCTTGCCCCTCTAGGAAGCGACGCAGCCACGTCTCTGCTGCTTCCTTCCCATTCTGAACCGCTACGTGCAGATATATCTGCAGCACAAACACAGCAGCAGCAGCAGCAACAGCACAATGAGGGCGCTAGCTCAAGATGCAGCAAAAGCAGCAGCTGCAACATCAACAGCAACAACATCTGCTGCAGTCGCAGCCGCAGTTGTATCCGTTGGATCAGCAGCGGCAGCCACACGCGCACACACACACACACACACACAGCAGCAGCAGCAGCAGCAGCAGCAGCAGCAACAGCAGCAGCAGCAGCGGGTCTCACCTGCGCGACAGCTGAAGCTCTGTCTCCATAGCTGTTGCAGTGAAAGCACTTCTGTCTCCTTTTACCTCCTTCTGTGTAGAAATCTGCAACCCAACGGCCTCTGTCTTTTTCATAACGAACAATGCTGCTGCGCCCCCGAGGCCCGCTGCTGCTGCTGCTGCTGTCCAGCAGCAGCGCGCTGCTGCCAGCCGTCTCCAGCTGCTGCAGGGAAAAGGAAGCAGCATCCGCTGCGCTTGCGGCACCCAACCCTCCTGCTGCAGCACCGCTACCTGCTGCTGCTGCTGCTGCTGCTGCTTCATCGCTGCAGCTGCCGCTGTCTGCAGCAGAAGCGTCAGATGTTCGCCGTCTTCTAAAACCTGGAAAGACAGCACCTTCTGCTGCTCGTCTGCGGCCTCTGCTGCTGCTGCTGCTGCTGTTACTAGCCGCATCCCCTGATGCTTCCCCCTCTGCTGCAGCAGCTGTTGCCCCCTGCTGCTGCTGATGCTCTGACTTCAGCGGCTGGAGCACCGAGGATACACTACCCGCAGCGGTTGCCGTTGCTGCAGTAGCAGGAGCCTGCTTCCGCTTCGTGCCGCGGGTGTTGTAGGCGCCTCTGTGCAATGCGCTGCTGCTGCTGTTGCTGCCGCTCCCGTTGCTGCTGCTGCTGCTGCTGCTCAGTGGGTCATCCTCCCCCAAGCTGCTGCAGGTGCTTGCAGGCGTTTCAGAGTCGCCTGGCACGCCGCTGCACTTCTCTGCAGCAGCAGCAGCAGCTGCTGCTGCTGCTGCTGCTGCGCGCCCCGGGCTTGCGGAGTTGCTGCACCTCTGGCTGTGCTGCTCCAACTGCTGCTTCTGGCGAAGCAGCTGCTGCTGGAGCTGCTGCAGCGCCTGCTGCTGCAGGAGTTGCTGCTGCAGCTGCCGCTGCAACAACGAAGTTTGCAGCTGTTTCTGTGACGGCCCTGCGCTCTGTTGCTGCTGCTGCTGCTGCAGTGCTGACAATGGAGACTGCTGCTGTTGTTGGAGAAGAAGCTGCTGCTGGAGCTGTTGCTGCAGCATGAGTTGCTGCTGCTGCTGCTGCTGCTGCAGGGGTGAGTGTTGTTGCAGGCCAACCGAAGCAGCGGCAGCAGCAGCAGCTGTATTGTGCTGCTGCGAGTTCCCAGGGGGCTCATTCTGTGCGTGCTGCTGCAGCTGATGCTGCTGCTGCTGCTGCTGCTCCTTCCTGCTGCCGCTGGCAGCCTGCTGCTCCCTCAAACTTACTTCTCTAAACCAACTCTCTGCTGCATCTCTACCATGCAGCACTGCCCTCTGCAGAAACATATGTGCTACAATGGGGGTGGGCACAGAGCAGTATGCCTTGCATGCAAACGTCTTCTGCTGCCGCTGCTGGCTGCTGCTGCTGTTGCTGTTGCTGCTGCTGCTGCTGCTGCCAAGAGCTGCAGGAGCGCACCCAGAGGCGTCCTGATGCTCATCCTCCTGCTGCTGCTCTTGTTGCTGCTGTTGCTGCCGCGGCGCCCACCAATCCAGCACCCATCTGCAGCGGCTGCTGCTCCAGTATAAGCGCCCCTTAGCAGCTTCTAGAAGAGCAGCAGGAGGGGCCCCCAAGAGGCCGTCAGGTAGCGCAGCAGCAGCAGCAAGAGAGTCTGCTGCTGCTGCTGCTGCTGCTGCTGCAGTCGCAGGAGATGCTGCACAAGTTCCCCCGCTACTCAGAGGCCGCGCTGCTGTCTGAGGCAGACTCCAATCGACGCTGTAGCTGCCGCTGCTGCCGTTGCTGCTGCTGCTGCTGTTGCTGTTCTGCCCCTCATACTTATGCCCCTCCTGCTGCTGCTGCTGCAGCTGCAGCTGAAGCTGTTGCTGCAGCAACTCCGACACGCGAGGCCCATTTAAAGAAGAGAGGGATGAGAAACCAGCAACTGAGGGAGCTGCTGCTGCTGCTGCTGCTGCTGCGCCAGCAGCAGCAGAAGGGAGGTTCATAGCCACTGCCTGACGCGCGCTGCTCCTTTCCGTTGCTTCCTGCTGCTGCTGCTGCTGCTCTTCTTCCTCATGCGCAGAGTCCTTCTGCTGCTGCAGCCGAACAAGCACACGCTGCTGTTGCTGCAACAGCAGCAGCTGCTGCTGTAGCTGCTCCCTCAAGGAATGAAGAGCCTCCTCGCCCCTGGAGTTCGCGTCTGCTGCAGCCATTCCCATCTGCTGCTGCTGCTGCTGCTGACCGTGGGAAAGCAGCTGCTGCAGCAGCAGCAAGTGCTGCTGCAGCAGCTGCTGCAGGCCTGACACTGCAGCGGCGATGCCAGACGAGGGCGCCCCGGCCACCCCAGCGTGCTGCTGCTGCTGCAGCAGCTCACAGGAAGCAGCAACGGGAGCTGTTGCGTCTGCTGCATCTTCTGCTGCTGCCTCATCTTTTGCTGCAGCAGAACAAGACGCACCAGGATCAGCAGCAGCAGCAGTGGCGGCAGCTGCAGTTGCTGCTGCTATGGGCGACAGCTGCCTGTCATAGGCTGCTGCTGCCTTTGCTGCTGCTTTTGCTGCTGCTGCTGCTGCTTCCACTTCAAATGCGCCTCTCCGGGCCTCCCGTGCATGCACAATGTGCTGCTGCTGCTGCAGCAACCGCAGCGTCTCCGTGTGGTGCTTGAGCTGCTGCAGCAACTGCTGCTGCAGCACCAGCGCGTGACGAGGATTCTCCTGCTGCTGCTGCTCCTGCTCCTGCTGCTGTGAATATGAATCTTCGCCAGCAGCAGGCAGCGGCAACGACAGAAGCGAAGCTAAAGAAGCAGCGCCGCTACTGTTGCTGCTGCTGCTGCTGCTGCTGCCGTTGCTGCTGCTGCTGCTATTGCTGTTGCTGTTGCGTTGGCAAGCTGTAGAGATGTCCTCGGGAGAAGACAGTACAGAAGCACCAGCAGCAGGTTGCCCTGCTGCTGCTGCTGCTGCTGCTGCATCTGGCAGTGGCCTCTCCGCCTCGTTCAGGAGCTCCTCCTCAGTTGCTGCAGCAGCACTTGCTGCAGAAGCACCTGCTGGAGAAGCTTCTGCTGCTGCACCATCTTCTGCAGCACTATCCGCTTCTGAGAGCTTCTGCTGCTCTGCAGATACTGCTGCTGCAGGATCAGCTTCCTGCTCCTGCTGCTGCTGCTGCTGCTGACGGCAAGGAGATGAAGGGCAGTCGCGCTCCATCGCTGCTTCCCCTAAGACACCAGCACCTTCTGCTGCTGCTGCTGCTGCTGCGTCTGTCGCTGCTGCTGCTGCAGACTCTGTCGTTGCCGGGGAGGTGCTGTCTTCACTGTGACTGCTGCTGTCTCCCCCGTGCGGCACCGGAGGGCTGCTGGCTGCGTCTCCTGCTGCTTCTGCTGCGGCTGCTGCTGCAGGAGCAGCTGCAGCAGCAGGAGCAGCAGCAGCTGCAGGCGAAGTGCAGCACTTGGTTGCAGCAGCAGCAGCATCTGCTGCTACACACGGCCAGTCTCCGGTAATGAGCATCTTACAGGAGACAGTGGGCGTGCTGTCCGTTGCCGCTGCTGCTGCCGCTGCTGCTGCTGTTGCTGTTGTACAGACAATGCTCCTGCCGCCAACTCGAGGGTACCGAATACACGACATGCTGCAGTCTTTTGCTGCTGCTGCTTCTGTTGCAGCGCCAGCAGAAGCAGCTGCTGCTCCTGTTGCAGTTTCCGCAGCAGCTGCTGCTCCTGGTGCAGCTTCCGCAGCAGCTGCTGCTCGCAGCCTACCGCCTGCAGACTTGAAGCCTCGTCGGCAGCAACAGCAGCACACTTCCGCTTCAGTACTTGTGCTGCTGTTGCTGCTGCTGCTCCGGCTGCCGCTGCTGCTGCTCCCGCTTCCGTTCCTGCAGCCGACCGCTTCGTGTCTGCAGCACCAGCAGCAGCAGCACCTGCGCCGACGAAGAAGCTGTTTTCGCTGCCTTGCGCTTCCTTACTCCCTGCTGCAGACAGCTCTACTTGCTGCTGCTGCTGCTGCTGGCGGGGCACCTAATCCAACGCTTTTGTTGGAGGGCTCGCTTCTGCTGCAGATCGGAGTCACGCAGGCCAAGGAAGCTGAAATGCAGCAGCAGCTGCTGCTGCTGCAGCAGCTGCTGCTGCTGCTGCAGCGCAGACGCAGCGACGGCAACCGCAGCAGCAGGAGCGGCAGCTCAAGGCGGCGCTGTCGCTGCGTACATGCTGTTTGCTGCTGCTGCTTTCAAAGGTGGAAGGGTAACAAAGAGTCTTGCTGCTGTTGCTGCCACCGCTGTTTGCTGCTGTTGTTGCTGCTGCTGGTTGCTGCTGCTGCTGCTGCTTGCTGCTGCTGCTGCTGCTTGCTGCTGCTTGCTGCTGCTGCAAGCCAGCCGACGAAGCGTTGCTGGACAAACTCAGGTGTACATACACCTCAGAAGTGAAGCAGCTGCAGACACCCTGACAGAGAAAAGGAATTAAAGAAGCTGAAGAGCTCTCCTTTAAGGTGTGGCCTGCGCCGCTCCGGCGCTGCTGCTGCTGCTGCTGCTGCTGCTGCTGCTGAGAACGGAGGCCCCCGGCACATACCCTTATGCTTCAGCTGGACGAAGCAAATGCAGTTTTAAGTCGCTGCTGCTGCTGCAGCAACTGAAGCAACAAGAGAGACGTTTTCTTTTGCGAACTGCAAAGCAGTTGGCACTGCTGCTGCTGCTGCTGCTGCGCTGCTGCTGCTGCTGCTGCTGCTGCTGCTGCTGCTGCTGCTGCTGCTGCTGCTGCTGCTGCTGCTGAGCTGCAGCTGCAGCAGCAGACGGGAAACGCACGTACTTTGTTTGCGTTTTCACCTTCTTTATTTTTATGGCTTTTGAAAGCAATTTAAGTTTTATAGGAGTACAATAAGAAGGTTTCTTGTTGAGCTCTGTCGTGCGTATGCTGCAGCTCGCTTGGCAGCAGCAGCAGCAGCAGCAGCAGCAGCAGCAGCAGCAGCTGCAGCAGCAGCAGCAGCAGCAGCAGCAGCAGCAGCAATGCAGCAGTGGCAGCAGCAGCAGCATTGCAACCGCTGCTGCAGGTGCTGCTGCTGCAAAGTTAGAGTATTTGTGAAGCTGTTTTTAATTTGTATTGCATTTCAGTCTCTTGCTTTGCGTTTGTGCTGCAGCAGTAGCAGTAGCAGCGTCGATAGCAGCAGCAGCAGCTGCAGCAGCAGCTGCTGCAGCAGCAGCATCGACGACAGAGCACTCACTAGGCTTTTGATTAGACAGACTTTGCTTGCGTTGCTGCACTTCATTGAGGGTATTAGAAAGCTAGCGTTGTAGACACACTGCAGCAGCAGCAACAGCATCAGAAGCAGCAGCAGCAGCAGCTGCTGCAGCAGCAGTAGCAGCGGCACTGGCAGCAGCAGCAACGCAGTGCAGGGGGGCTCGTTCGGCTGCTCCTTTTTGAGTTGCTTACAAAGACAAAATAACTCTTTTGTTTTTGTTTTTGCTATTCGTTACACTTGGGCTCGGCTATATGCTGCGCCGGCTGGCCAGCAGCAGTGGCAGCAGCTGCTGCTGCAGCAGCAGCGCTGCGTTGCAAGGGGATTGGAGAGGTGAGTTAGCTGTTGAGGTGTATGCACACCTTCTTGGTTGTTTGCAGCAGCAGCTATTGATGCTGCAGCAGCAGCTGCGGTTCTGCTGCTGTGGCAGCAGCTGCTGCTGCAGCATCAACTTCTCCCTAGTACGAGACAGCCTAAAACAAAACAACAGCAGCGCAGCAGCAGCAGCTGCTGCTGCTGCTACTGTAACATTGGCTTCTAACTAGTAGTAGACAGCCTAAAAGGAAGCAGCGGCGCAGCAGCGCAGCAGCAGCAATAGCAACAGCAGCAGTAGCTGTCTATTTATTGATGTTCAGTAGAGGAATTGTTTTATAGTATTGGCAGCAGCAGGAGGCGCTGCAGCAAACTACGGGTGTCTCTTCACCTGCAGCAGCAGCAGTTCTTTGTGCTGCTGCTCCGACTAGGATATACGCACAGGAGACAGGATTGCATCTGTCTCTCTCTTCTTGTTATTTCATTTGCTGCTGCTCTCTACAGTTAAACATTTATTTATATTTCTCCTCTACTCGCGCTGCAGCAGCAGCAGCACAGCAGCAGCAAAGCACGTCAGCTTTTAAGAGAGAGCTTCATTATCATAGCGGTATTTGCATATCCTCAGCTGCTGCTGCTGCTGTTGTGCTGTTGCTGCTGCCCTGCTGCTGCTGCACACAGCGGTGGTCTGCTGGGCATGCATTTGAGTCCCCCAGCCAAAGCCAATGTCGCTAGCTGCTGCAGCTAGCTGCTGCTGCTAGCTGCTGCTGCTGCAGCTAGCTGCTGCTGCTAGCTGCTGCTGCTAGCTGCTGCAGCAAGCGGCTTCAGCTAGCTGCTGCTGCTAGCTGCTAGGAGTTGGTTTGGGTTGGCCTTCCGCTAGCTGCTGAAGACTGAGACGAAAGAACTGCAGCAGCAGCAGCAAGATAGTTAGCAACAGCAGCTGTAGCAAGATTGTTAGCAGCAGAAGCAGCAGCAGTTTCGCTATAACCAGCAGTAGCAACCAGCTTGCTAGCAGCAGCAACAGCAGCAACAATATTAGCGGCAACTACAAGGCTGGCAGAAGCAGCAGCCAAACTGTGAGCAGCAGCAGCAAGAGCATCTGTAGCAGCAGCAGCAGCAGGCGTAAGTCGCACATGTTGTTCAAGTATGAACATAAGTTGGGAAAAATGCTGCGAAACAATGAAGAAATAATGCTGCAGCAGCTGCTGCTGTTGCCTCTCGTGCTGCTTCGTGCATGCACGAACAGAATAACAAAAAAAAAACAAGGCTGCACTGCTGGTGCTGCTGCTGTTGCTGCTGCTGCGTCTCCTACCAGCCCTCCTCTACCCACGCGCAGCAAACATGACAAAGCAGCAATAACGCACAGCTGGTGCTGCTGCAGCAGCAGGGTGTTATTGCTGCTGCTGCAGCAGCTGCTGCTGCTGCTGTGACACCCCTTTGGAAGCAGCGCTTTGACTTTCTAGGTATCAGGAAGTTTAGCTAGCAGCAGCATAAGCAGCAGCGGCAGCGGCAGCGGCAGTAGCAGCAGCAGCAGCAAACAAACAGATTGCATTGCTGCTGGGGGGCAGGCGATCCCCTGCCTCGCAGCAAGAGCAGCAGCCGCAGCAGAAGCAACGCATGCAGGTTATTACTGTTTCTGTTGCTGCAATTGATGCTGCACTAGCTGCTGCACTAGCTGCTGCTGCTGCTGCTGCTGCTGCTCCAACAGTAGCTGGGCCCAGATGGAGTCTGGATTTGCAGCTGCGTGGCTGTTGGGTGTGAATTTTCTGCTGCTGCTGCTGCTGTTGCTACTGCTGCTGCATCTGCTGCTGCTGGTGCTGCACTTGGTGCTGCTGTTTGCTGCTGAGAGCAGCTTGCTGCGCTAGTTCTTTAGCTTTATTAAAACCGTGCAGCTCAGCGCTGAAGCTTTTAGAGACAGGGCGGCCGTTGACGTGCAGCAGAGACACCCAAGAAGAAGTAATACCATCAAAGAATACACCTGACGATTAAATAAAAGAAAAAATAAAAGAAAGAAAAAGATTAGAAATAGAATAACAGCAGCAGCAACAGCAGCAGCAGCAGCAGACAGAGACGAAGACAAAGACAGACAGACAGAGAGACAGAGAGATAGAGAGACAAAGACAAGCAGAGAAAGGCAAATAGATAGCTAGCTATCTAGCTATATATATATATAAATATATATATATATATATATATATATATATAGCTAGA